AGACGCACAGACAAACAAACAACTTCTGGTTTATATATATAGAGATTACCCTTACAGATCAGTTGCTCACTGGAATGAACGCTACAAGAGCTAGGAAACATGTCAAATGAGGAGAAAGTACGGCGGTTGGAAAAAGATATCAGGGAAATGGCCGCTTTGGATCGACCGAAGTGGCCAATGTGGGAAACCGGTGAGCGATATTTTCTGATTATTTTCTGGCTACTTTCCTTCTACTACATACTGACACTCAACACTAATAAAGTCACGCGGGGCGTGTCTAGTGGCAAGTAGATTTTGGCGCAGTGCCAGCTTCCCTATGACCACTCCTTGCGGCGTGGACCATTCAAAGGGTGGTGAAAAAGGGGTTGGCGCCCTCGCCAGATACCACGCGTGACTGGCACGTCCCGAACTGATTTCAGTGATGACGTCTTTACTAGCGAACTTACTTTACTCATATTTGTCTACTCATCAATGATTACAGCACGACCGGTTCGTAAACGGCACGCACCAGCGAGTGAAGGAACAACGACAAATGCGACCGCAACTCATGATGACAATCATGGTGGTGATCATCATGGTGGTGATCATCATGCTGAGCACGAGCACGAACGCATCAACGGCGTCTTGTATGAAACATTCCGCCCAGTTGCATTCACTTCTCTTGTATCAAGAGGAGGAGCTATGGAGATGGTTACTCTTTCGCCACAAGCATTCATTGCTGAAATTGCTAGTCCGGAGGCTCTAATGGTATGTTGATTAATCTTCCACCAGTTAGCGCGGTCTGGGGCCCACGCACCCTTTCTATTGGCCTTTTATCTTCCGCTTGGGCCTAGGGATATAAAGCCATTGGGTGAAACGTTTGCTTATTGTGACTCCCCCAAAATTTCTCTCTTGAGAAGACCACCTTCCTTAACTCAGTGGCCGTGGGAACAAGGGGGAGTGGGGGGGGGGGTGGAATGTGCAATTTTGACACTGCCAATCGTCCTGTCGAACTATCAATAGTGATCTGTAAATCTACTGCAGCTATGGAGTGATATCAGATGAAGTAAAGAGGAACCTTTTGAGAGCTTTGTATGAAGAGTACTATGAAGAGTACTCTCATCCCCACGCCGAACTGCGCCAAAGTTTTCTCTTGGCGAAATATGATCCACTTTAACGGCGCTCAGATACGACCTTCCTGGGTGATGCACAACGGATGGTGAGTCTCACCAATTAGTGCTGATCCTAACATTCCCATTCACAAACCGAAAACTTCGAGCAATTAGTGGCTTGATGAGGCCATTGTGGCTCAAGGGTATGGTTTTCCATGGTGCTAACAAGCCGTGACCTAGCCTGTGAAGGTGAGAACACATCCTACAAATCTCATTGCTGTACATTCCCGAAGGTTCTGGAGAACCCAATGCTGTGGCATACGTGACCCTTGGGTCCGGTTTCTCCGGTGAAGTGCTACTGTCAACATCTCCATATTTTTAGTTGCAAACGTTGTCACCTCGTGCGTTCATCGCCTCCATTCTGTCACCAAACGCACTAATTGCTCGTATCCTTTCGCCGACTGCTCTCCGAGCTGAAGTACTATCGCCAAGGGCATTACACGCTTGGGTACTTAGTCCAGAAGCACTCGTGAGTAGTCTCTGCCTTTTTTCCGCTATGAATACTTGAACTTACTCAGAATATCCACATTCCAGGTTGCGGAAGTGCTATCGCCTCGATTTTTTGATCCTCGCGTTTTGTCGCCAGAAGCACTCGTCATTGATGTTCTGAGCCCAGGTTAGTGACCTAATCCATTTGCTACATGCGCCTGATGTAACCGGCTACAAGCAAAATGAAAAAGATTTCAACTATACTTACAAGGCTGCAAGGCTTCCCTTAAAGGGCAGACTCAGCGCAGTAGTACTGGCATCACGTTTGTTCGGTAACTGCAGTAATTACTGTATTTGAAACCTGAAACATACGATATGGGTGAAATCGAGCAGGCCACTGTGCCTTAATCACTGTTGTGCATTTGTTACTCCCTGTTCAGGAAAGGGACGTATCAGGTGAAACGTCCCATATTCAGTCTGGCTCGCCCATATGATCTGCGTGGGTGCCTCCCGAGAAATTCTCAAGCTTTAGAGCTCTACATGAACGCTGATCACATCAAAGGCCACAAGATGGGAGAAACATTCGAGAAGCGGAACACTGCCGCGCGAGCAAGCTTACAAAGCTCACGTCAGCATAGAATGGACCAGTGCGTTATACTTGCGTCCACAGACACAGGACCACTTCCACACGTGTTCCACGAATGGGAGGAGCACCTTCTACGGGTGGCGTGCCACGTCTGATGACCCTATCACCCACCGCAGGACCGTGTAGACAGTCTCTGTAATAGCGCACTGGACCATTTGTACAAGGGAAAGACTCTCACCCATTGGCTACCCTAGGAATGTGCATTTAACCCAGATCTCTTTCTTATTATGTGCAGCCTCACCGTGCTGTGCCGTCTACCTTCATGCTGGAAACATTGTATTTTTTTTCTCAAAATTCAATTTTATGTGAAAAATATTGTTCCAGGTTTTCTTTCACCGCATGTGCTCTCATCCGAAACAATAGGTCTGATCATTCTGAGCCCCAACGTGTTGTCACCTCGAGTCGCTAGCTCAGAGAAACTCCTTGTTGAGGTAAGTCGCAAAAATCGCCACTGCAACCCCAGCCAGACCAACTTGTGAAAGGGGGAAATCTGACACCGTCGAAAATTTGCATTTCTTTGCAGGTCCTTTCGCCACACATTCTTGGTGGACCTCATACGCATGAGGAGGAAAGTCATGAGGTCACTGAGGTTGGTTCACACAGCGAAGTAAAAGGGAGCAGTGAGCAAGAACACAAGGAACATGAAGCTGTTCATCGTGGCCACGGCTCCCACGGCCAGTCACGTTCACCTCAGAGTGGCCCCTACAAAGGCTTAGCATCAGTACCTGTACCGTCACGTTGGCCCGATAACAACATCTGAGAGAGTTCCCCTCTATCCCCCCCCCCCGCTTGTGAGATTGCGGGGTGCCAAGCTCTTCCCCATGAAACAGATGCCAGTTTGAAAAAGAAGGATCATAGTGCTAACGTCACAACTTTATAACCCCGATTGCCGAAACATTTGAAAGGCACGGTCCATTGTGGTCATGGGTGTGGGGGCAGATCCGTTTCCCTCTTCGTTGACTGTGGTTTATCGGAAATGAAGAATCACCAACGAGAACGGCAGAACGGTAGGTCTGACTCCGCCCACCATTGTTTCACAACGGCACCTTTTTCCAAACTACTCGTTTGTGTGCAGTACCGAGCTTTGCTGGTTTTATCCGATACATTCCAGTACAAGTAGTTTTTATTAGTATCTTATTTAGCTCTTATCTATTTTGATACAGCCTTGTTCGCTGCGGACGCTGGGGTGCTCCAGACTAACTATGTTTGGCGCGACGCCAGCCAGTTTTCCGCCAATTGTGGTCGCCTCCCCCTCCCACAATTGGTGGAGAAGAGCTGGTGCCGTTTCTACAACGCCTCGGCGTCCGCTGCCAACAGAACTATAGCTTCAATTTTCGCCCTTTCCTTGTTGTTGCATTTTCGCTTTCTTGCACTTGTGTCATCATACTAATAATAAGGAGTGTAACTGTAAATATAATGATTGTTCTATTAATAATTTAATGTGTGGCGATTTGCATTTCTCTCCTTTTTTCCATGATATTTCTTGATTCTCCTTATTCCGTGTGTTGCTCTAACCATGATCTGTTATAGACGACTTGTAACTTACCATGACATTTTTTCAAACGCTCATGACTCTGTTACCCAGTGAGTTGCTTTCAAATAATTCTTCACCGCAGAGATTAGACTAGTAATTCTTTAGCTTTATTTATGTTTTGTGTTATTGACTTACTACTCTCGATAATAAAAGCTCTATACACGTGTTTCTGAAAAGGTCCGGTTGTCAATACTTAGGAAGATTGTGGCACTAATCTAATATAGGAACTCATTCCGGTACAACAACTGGTTGGATTACGGTAGTTCCTCTTTTGCGCAAGATTCCTTGAGCCACAGGCCCCTTTCCAGAGGGCTACAAGGTGGATCTTTGCCGCGTAGAAGATGCCCACAGCAGCAAACAGTGGGATACCTTCATAAGCCGAAAAAGCGCCCTAGTTCAGCTGATTAGGGCACACCATCACGCTGTGTAAAATTTCTGATAAAAAGGATTTGAAAGAGGGTCTTAATACACCCCTCCCTTTCTTATTTCCAGAAATGAGCCGTATAATTCGGAACCACAGACTTCAATTATGAACTTCGCTAGCGACCGTTATGAGGGCTTTCCGCCGTTGCACTGGGGCACGCCCGCAATCTCGAAATGCCTTGATAATGAGACAGAAATTTCAAAAAAAAAACCCTTTTTTATTCCTACTTCTGAGTGTAGAACTTCTTGAGCGCATCACGCTGCGAAGCTTTAGATTAGATATTAAGTAAAAGTGCTCAAGCCATTTTTAACATTTTTCACAGGGAATATCTCCGTTGTGAAATCATTGTTAGAATTCAGTGTCACCTACAATTTTTTGTGTTTGAACGGCCGTAAATCCTTCTTAGACCCCTTGAGAAATCAAAAGCAGAACGGGAGTTTAGAGGACTTTTTTTCAGAAAAGCTCTTCCCTCATTCCTTGTGCATACTTGTTAAAATATCCCAGTTCTGTCATTGTTGTGGACAGTTTCGAGTGACACAAAAAACTCTCTCCCCAACGCAGTATTCATTTCCAGTTCGCATGAAGATTTGGCTGTGCTTCTGAAACATTTCTTTTCGTCTAAGTTTCGTTTCTAAGGACCATTGGGTTCATCTCCGTCTTGCGCCATGCCTCCTACTTCCACACAGAAATATTGACAAGGTGTAACTTAAGGTTTCTCCGTGCAAACACATGTGTTCCTTCCGTCCAGAGGAGTCGGACGACTGTGTTTTAATGGTTTGTTAGTCCATATGATTGTGGGCTACCATTGCACTTCTTGTCGCCACCTATTTCACATGTCCAATGTCAAATACCTCAGCTCACCGTACATACACTGCGAAGCATAATCATAGTTCCACCCATGAATCTCACAAAATCCCGTCTTACACGACGTTTTCAAAAATGCCCCATACAGAAAATGTGGTAATTACCAATACCAATTCGCATGCCAACACCAAACTCTAGCTTGAAAAACAATTTTTTTTCGTCAATTTTTTCAAAAATGGTCGTTCTGACAACGTTTTTGTTCGGTGAAACTTCTCATCATTATGACTTCTTGCCTCTTCTAGGCTATGGCAAGTGGAACTTCATTAATGGACCTCGAAAAAGGACAGATTATCGCAAAGAAGACTCAAAAACTGTCGAACCGTCGAATGGCGCGGGATGCGGGCCGCACTCATCATGCTATCAACGATTTTTTCCAAGGGACCCACAGGATATTGAGCTGAGAAGAGCTCTGGACATCCTCCTTTGCTGCCCGATCGGAATAACCGCCGTATCCTTGGAAAGCATCCAACTCTGCAGTGTCGTGTCGGGAAATCAAGACATCTTCGGAGGTTAATGTCTCGGAGAATACTGTCAGGCGTCTCTTGAAAAACTCCCGAGTTCACCCATAGGAGGAATATGAGTTACGTACTGTTTAACGAAAAACCATCGGGAAAACCTAATTGGCTTTGCTCGAAGATGTTGCCGAACCCAATGGAGTGAGGTTGGCTTTTGGCTGCGGTGCCCTACTGCTTGTCTGTAGTGTTTTTCAGTTTTTTCTCGCGGTCGTGTTTTCTGATGAGAAAAAATTCAACTGCGACGGCTCCGACGAAAACCGATTCCGCTGGCACGACCTGAGGGAAGACAAGTTTCTTCAGTGGATGTGGTCTCATGGTCTGGGCTGCCATCGCATGAATGGAACGTCTGAAACTGCGCTCCGTATGAAAAAAGAAATGATTTCTTCCGTCATCTAAAAGTCATGCGACAACGTCTCCTTGCTTTCTGGCGTAGAAATCAGCAAGAAAGTCCCGTTTTCATGCAGGATAATGCACCAGTTCATGACAGTCGAAGCACTCGAGCGTGATTCAGTTGTCACCAAACCGCTCTTTTGCCAGCGAGTAGCCCCGACTAAAACCCAATCGAGGATGTGAGGGGCTTCATGGTGCGTATGATCCATGAGAGTAATGCACAATTCCACAAGGTCCGTGAGCTTAGGGAGTTAATCATTGGGGCAGTCGGCCGACAGCCTATTAAAATCTCTAATCGAACATGGGCAACCGTATTTTCCAACTTAATTGGAGAAATAGAGTTCCAGTAGATTACTGGATCAAAATTTATTCATTTTATTGTACACTTGTTGTTGGAATATTCGATTTGTTCGGTGGAACTATATTTTTGCTTCGTTGTCAGAACGACCATTTTTGAAAAAATTGACGAAAAAAAATTGTTTTTTCAAGCTAGAGTTTGGTGTTGGCATGCGAATTGGTATTGGTAATTACCACATTTTCTGTATGGGGGCATTTTTGAAAACGTCGTGTAAGATGG